CCTCATTCAGAGGACTACTTCCCGAACGATTATCAAGTGTACATGACATGTAATGGTTATGATCAGGATTTTGGCCCTTGTCCTCTCCAACCACCATCGCACACGAGGGTCACATCCAGTCCGCTGGCCAACCACCCTGGACACATCTCTGATCTCATCAAGGGATAACCCCATATCGAAACCCTTTTCAATTGTGTACAAATGCAGAGGGTCAAGGGTTTTGGACATCACCGTGAGCCATAGTCAATCAAAGCTCAAGTGAATTACGACATTAGTGATGCCTCACAGTCCACCTTGACCATGCTCCCATTGGACCTATCACTTCACTATAGTCATAGTTTTATATGCTCTCATAAGGCCTTTAAATAGCTACATAACCTCAACAACTCATCACTCTGTCCACTTGAAGCGCTTTGTGTCATCAGGAGGCCACTGTGAAATCTGATCCTTATTAATTCTACATTATACTAAAGGGCTTAAAGGGTAGTAATTGCCAAGTCCGGAATATAAAGACCACCAGCTTCATGACCACTACCAGTCATATTTCTCGTATCAAGGTCCTAAAGTTACAGTGTGAAGAACAGAAGGTTACACTACAAATTAAGTTTGTAGCAAAGTTGGTAAGATGACCTTATGGCAATGACATTTGAGGAGAAATTTATGGTTCCTTCTCCAACGATAGTGGAAAAAGATCCATCAAGACCCCTAACTTTGTCTCTACTAGAACAAGGGGAATAAGAAGAAATCAAGGAAGACACAATTGTCACGTGATCTGAGGCTCCTGAATCAATAACAGAGGATTGCCTAAACGCAGATGCACAAATAGCTGAGTATGCAAAGGATGAAGTATAAGTGATGGTGGCCAACTAACTAGGCAACAAGCGGTAAAGGCTCTCAATCTCCTCGTTAGGAACTAGTATAATCTCCTTTGAAGCAGAAATTAGATGTTGGATTGCATTGGTAATGATAAATCGATTCTAACAATAGCCGAGCAACGTATGGATGAATCATTTTGAGCATTAAACTCACTTGGATGGTTGAATTTAGTTGTTCGACCAACCAGATTCTAGCAAGTTTCTTTATATAACCATTTCCACCACAACGGTCAAATTTCAGCTTATTTTGATTGGGACCCCTTTACAAAATTTCTAAGGTCCACCCCCTTTATTGTTTAGGAGGTAATGAGGCTGAAGCAACAGCAGAATGATCAGGAATGGACTCAAGGCCAAGTGGTCAAGGTGGCAGGTTGCCGCAATATGACGTCTTGAGCTCCATTCCTACTATGAGTAGGGGACCCTTTCCCCACTGAACTACTATAAACAAGACAGACGGACCGATCAATTGCTTGAGCAAGCAGCAAGACACTTTTTCTACTCCCCTCACTCTAGTTGAGTGATTGACGAGTATCCCTACTAAGTATATCTCAAACTCAGAGTTCAATCCGTCAAAAACTCAAACATACAATTTTTGTTCGACAAATTGCTTGTATTGCTCCTCACCTTACTTAAAGGCTGGTTTGAACTTTGAATAGTGGTCAAACGGCTGCCAAATGTTATAAAGTAAAGAGAAACATGCCGCAAGAGACCTCTCCCCAGTCAAAGATTGGAAATTTCTTACCTTAATTTGTACGTTTGAGATACAATTTGGCTTTGAGAGTAAGTTTTATTTACTGAGCCCGAAAACTCTCATGCAGTTCAAAGAAACAAGAAGCCCCTAATTGTTGACGGTTTCATAGATTGTGATAACAAGACATTACGATCAGGTTTTTAGTTTCCCACTTATCATGTGAAGGATCTCTTTCTTTGGATCAATAATCCTACCATTGATGTTTACCCCAATTTTCCTCTTCAACAAACATTTTTGTAGACTTTGACAACTCTAAATAATTTGTCCCATCAAATTTGATAATTGTAATCTACAGTCTAAGGTTTATCTCCATAGATACCCACATGGGAAGTTACACCTGAAGCACTAGAGAAGCTAGAAGAATGACTTGAATCACTATTACCAGACATGTTGACCACAACACAGCTCATACACACTAATAAAACACTCTGATCAACACAACCAGCAATTCAAATTCACTCGCCAAAAGAACCCAAGACCATTCATACAAGAGATCATAATAATGAATGAGTTTCACAACTTAGACAAGGGTGTGACACATTTAAGGGTTCCAACAACATACTTTAATATCAACAATCCATCCCAACAAGACTTAGAATTTTTAATCCAACACAAAATTTAGATTCTAGACCAGATTTTTCAGAATTAGGGCTTTTGACTGTAGGGCTGATGGAGACCCATCCAAGGTGAGATTGTTGGTTTTTTTGCAACCTTTAAAAGCCTAGAGAGCTTGTAAAAACTATATTCATTGTGAAATATGCACTTCAGTGGGAGTGTGCGTGTTGACTGACTAAAGATTGGGCGGTTTATGGCCCTGGTCATGTCCAAAACCCTTTATCCTGAGCATGTGACACTACTGAGAAGGGTTTGCAGTGGATCATCTTTTATTGAAGTTGGAAAGATACCTAGGGATCATGTTTGTAGGCCAGGAAAGCTGTATGGCCTCCTGTATGCAATTGTAGGGTTGTAAGAGTAAGGACCAAAGCTTCAACAAACTTTCGAACAACATGTACACATGACAACGGCATTACTAGGAAGCAGCCCCATAGAGAGAGTCCCCTTTTGCAATGTGGTGACAAGTGCTTGCTCTTAAAGGGAGGAACTGAAATCCACATTCTAGGATCATGGTCTCACTGTTTGTTATCCAACTTTGACAAGCCAATCATGAGCATGGGACTTTGTTGGGTTGGATAAGAGAACAATAGTAGATCATGTTTTCTAAGGTGAGTAGAGTGCCCTTATGGTCCCTTATTTTGACTTATTGGTAATAGGTCATTCCTAATATATTTTATTTTAGTATTAGAAATGTTTCTATGATTTTCAAATATTTTTCAGAATTTTTGAAATATTTTTTTCTGCTGTAATTTTTATTAAAAGGGTATTTCTAAAATTTTCAGTACTTGATTTGCATATGTGGGGACTAAGGATCCAGCCCCCACATGTGGGTGCCATCCATGCGGGGCCACGCTACTTTTAAGCAAGAGGGGGAGCACACCCCATTTTTTAATATTTGATATTATGTAAAATTTTAAAAGGTGAGCACGCCACCTTTAAAAGGAAAAGGGGCACGCCCCACTTCATCCATATTTCGGTTCAAATTTTAAACTAGCTATGATTAGATAGAAAATCTAATTTAAATTAGATTTGATTTATCAAAAAAAAATTGGACGTGATTTGTATTTCATATTTAAATGGGAGATTTAGATAATGTAAGTTTGATTGTATCTCAAATTTAAATAAGAGTTGGATTTGGGTTAAAGTCTAAAGGGATAAGGTTTTTATCTTTCCACCCAAAATCATGATGGCTGATTTTTGGGATGGATGGCTTCGATTAAATATCTCTCAACCTAAAGATTTCCTATTCATCCTAAAGGTCTAGCTCGAAACTGGAAAAGGCAATACTTAGAAAGAATCCTACTCAAATTAGAATATAGATTTCCTTCTATAAAAGGATATAGTTTTAACATCTTTCAAACACAACTAAATTCTCTCTCTCACTCTCTCTCTCTCTCACGCCACCCTCTTCTTCTTCGTTTGGTTTCACGTCATTCTCTCTCCTATTTGTCCATGTCATCTTCTCTCTCCTCTTCACGTCTCTCTCTCACTTTGTCTTTCCTTATTTGAGTAGCGTTCATTAAAATAAAGAAAAGGTGAATCTTTAAAAACAAAAAGAAAGAGTTGTATTTTGAAGAAACAATGAGAAGTCTAGGCTAGAGAGAGATCAACTCTCAAGCTCAGCCATAGTTTCTTCCCATAAGGTCTCCATAAATCCTAGTATATTTTTGAATTGTCTAAAACCCTAGATAAAGAAGTATTGCCTGTAAAGCTTCCCTATCTCAAGATTTTCAGCAACACCTTGAAGAGCAAAAGTGCACCAGGGAATCGGGTGTGGGGTGTACCAAGTCCTAATAGAGTGACTTCAGGCATCTACCAGTAAGTCTTCCCAGTAGTTTTAAATTAGGTTATAGTATTATTTCCTATTTTCTATAATTTTTTTGGAATTTATTTTGTACTAAAAAGTAAGGTGGAAGTTAGTTTAAAGCTTTTAGATAGCTTTTATTTCTCTTTGCAGTAAAAATAAAGATCCTAAGTTATATTTAGGGAATTATTTTAATTTTACAACAACATATTGTGGCCCATGTAAGTGAATTTCAGGTATTTGGAATAAATAAATAAATAAATTGATTTTAATACCTTGATTTCCACATAGCCACACCTTTCATAAATCACATCCCTAGGGTTACACTAAACATTACCAAAGACTCTTGCTCTGATACTGAGTTAAAATGCACAGCAACAATAAAAGGAAAAAGAAGAAAGAAAATGATAAAGAAGGAGATCAAACGAGAGGAATGAAGATGCTTGAAAGAGAGTGAGTTACATCGCGAGAAGGGAGAGAAAGGACGTCACATGGGTCTATATTGCCCCTAAGTACCTCTCTTTCATTATACATACTATTATTACATTTAATAATGTACAATAGTGCCCTTAAGTAAGGGAAGAGTCAAATTAGTCGTTAGGGACTTAAATACAATAGAAACAAAACATTAGATTGCATGAAACTCTCAAGGAACCTGCAAGCTTTTAAACCCCATAGTCAAATTCCAAAATATATATGAATGGAATAACAGCAGAAAATTTTAGATTTAATGAAATTTTAGGCATTAATGGTCACCCATAGATAATTTTAAATTTCTAGAAGTTCAGAAATTAACGGTTCTATTTACTTCTGGAAGAGTAATGCACTCAAAAGATACGTATCAACAGCAAAGTCAAGCACAATGTCAAATCAAGCATACTAAGAAAACATTTATTTGTGTAATAAGAGTGTCTTATTATTATACTGGTCAAAATGTGAGCACCAAAAATTTCACCTGCATCTTTGACAGCAGTAACTGTTAAGCCAGCACTAGTGCTCCCCAAGCCTGTGGTAATAACAGATCTATTACTTAATTTGGCTGCAAACTTCAAGAACTGGGACTTTCCAGTACCTGAAGAAAACCATAATCAGACTACCTTTTCATGCCCTGCTAGATGTCATTAATGACCTAAAGAAGAATGTATCCACTCTGACATATTTCTAAAAAAAAGATGCAACAAAAATTTACATTTCCTTAGATAACAAGCATGCCCACCTTCCTAACCATTTTATGAAAGGTCTGAGAAAAATAAAAAATCCAAGAGAGGTATGCTTTCACCAAGAAACCCTTCAAATCTATAGTATTGGCAGAACTTCCATGATATTTATACAAAATAAAGGTCAATAAAAAAGGCCTGCTATGAACACTTATGTTTTTTGAGTGGCACTTCATATGTAAAATGACCAGATTTACCCAGTATGTAACAAATAGCTTGGGTGCGTTGGTTAAAAGCAAATAACATCTGGCATATTTATGTCCCTTTTCAACCATTTTTGCAGCCATTTGGATCCCTCTTTGCTTCAATGATTTGGACATAGCAAAGGCTCCATTCATTGCTTTGTATCTTTGGACTTTTAATTCTTTTCCATTCCATTTTTCTGAAAATCTTCCGGCACATATCCTCCATGGCAAGGGCAAATTTCTTACCCTCTATGGCAGAAGCATTCATTCTCTTTCTGAACGTGGGTGTTTTTTATTTTTTTGAACTATGAATTATTGTTGCAATCTAGAAAGCTTGAGAGTTGGATTTCATGAGCTGGATACCTTTAGTTGAACATTTAATAATCCAGAATTATTAAATGTTTGATGATGGTATTTCTCTGATTATTTCAGAATTATTGTTCAATTGTAGAGAGAGAGAGAGAGAGAGAGCGAAAGCATTATTGAAAAATAAATAAACAACTTAAAAAGGTTAACAAAAAACACTTTTTTTATACTAAGCCGTGCCATTAATCAATCAAAGCACAATTCAGAGTTTGGATGGATGTACCTTCTTTCTCGTAGAGTTAAAAGACAGTTCATTTCCACAATAAAAACCTTGAAATAATGAGAGGGACACAAATCCAGAATTATGCATGAAAAACAAAATAATTAAAAAAAAAAAATGGAAATCAATATGAAGCCAGGTAACTCCATATAGAACCAAACAATCCACGAGGTAGTCCTCGTAGAGAGAGAAGAAATCAAGTCCACATGCCAATAATCTATCATGGGATTGTCTACAAAGAGACCATTTATCTTTTGTACATAGGTCACAATCATTCCCACTCATTAGATGTCAAATTGGATGGCTTGGGTGAGTCATGAAGTCCGAGAATTTTTTTGGGACTTGGCGTCTATTGAATGACACTCTTACAACCACCCATTTTGAAATTTAAGGGACAAGAATGATTTTGACCTCCATGTACAAAAGGTAAATGGTCTCTTTGTAGACAATCCCAATCTATCACCCACTTCCACACTACTAACCCTAGGATCCTAGATGTTGAAAGCAGCGTTATACTTGTTATAATATTTATTCTATCTAAACAGTCTGAAGGTCAAACTATCATTCTTAATCTTATGTGCCAATCCACAAGGCAATTAGACTATTAAAGATTTGTTCAAGGAAGATCAAGGGCATGAATCCTGGAAGTTTGTCTAAAAAGCAAACCACGCTGATGTAACCTTTTCTTTCGTACACATCCGAGTACAAATTGAATAAATACCCTTCACAAGGAGCATGCCAAGAGAAGTATAAACAATATTGTTATACCACGGGGCATGCTATATTATGACTAGAGCAGTTCAGAATGCACAATATTTAAGATAAATTAATGTGCATTACTCAAGCCCGTAGCATATGTTTAGTATAAACAATATACATATTTGTTTATTAGTGCCCTGAGTTCCTAGATATTGTTCACAATAAGCTTTTTGTGTCTTGAACATCTCAGAAACATAAAATGTTTAAGATAAAACATTTTCAAGTATATATGTATTTAGGTAAGCTTACCATAAGTACAAAAATATCTCAAATTCATTTAACCATTTTTATCCAATTATCCTTATTTTACTGAGAGTTTAGAAACATTTTTTTCCTTTATCACAAAGAGTACTTTGGATGTTAACTCATCTTAAATTTTCTAGGACTTTTGTGGTATTTTAACAAGATCGGTGTTTTGGGTATTTATTGCATTTCATGCCAATTATGTTTTAGAGCTAAAAAAAATCCGAAAAGGCCTTGCAGGTACACATAGATTTCATGCTTTCAAGGATTTAATCTAATATTTGAGCCAAGGTTAAAGTTAAGGGCAAAATACTATGGCAAGGCGGTCGTGATGGATTTTCTAGCATCAACAAACAAAGGGGTCCTTGAAAGGTTGTAAAACTGATTGTGATCTAGATCAATTGAAGAGCCAGTCATTAGATTAAAACACTAGAACTGGCAACTATGGTCATTTTTATTTTACTATTGGCAGTTTTCTCTATTTAGGTAGGTCATAGATGAAAACATCGTTACCGGGATCTCTGACTTTGGTAGGCAATCCCTTCTAGGATTTGGATTATGTCGCTCCCGGAATGGATCTCTCGGGGATCTCGATTCCTACTATTAGGAATCTCAATTCCAACCTTAAAGACCAAGGCAACAACCAAACTGATGATTTTCTTTGTTTATAGCCAACTACGAACACAAGTATTGCTCAGTTGATATCAGTAATGAGAACCATACTTTAAATAGTAAACATAATCTTAGATTATCATACACTTTAAGGTTGGTAACAAGATCACCAAAAAGTTAGGATCAAGATCCTAAAAGGTCGGGATCAAGATCCCCAAAAGGTTGGAATCTCGATCCCTAATATTTGGGGATCTCTATCCCTAACATGTGCATTGTACGGACGACATTCCCAACCATTGGGATCTTCTAGCATTTCATGATCCCTTGCTCCCAATCCCAATAACTGTGATCCAAAATAAGATGTATATTTAAAAAAGGGTATGGTTTGAATAAGGCCAAGGCCCTAAACAATCAAAGTAAGGTGCACTTTCAAATAGTATCGAAACATGTTTAAGTATTAGAAATCTTTGTGATGGCCTGAAAATTTAATTTCATCTTTAATTATAAAATTTAAATATTAAAAAATAGTATAGATCGAGTAAATCAATGAACACTTGAAAATTGATGGTCCAGATATATTATAAGATGCACTATTTTCAAGACCTGAAATTTGTTTTTCATGTCCATACATCTTGAGGGCGAGATGATCGAATCGAGGCTTTTTTAGCATTAAAACAATCTTAATTTGATTGTTTAGGGCCTCATTCTTATACAAACTTTTTCCTTTAAAAAAAGGACGCATAATTTATATAATTGTACAAAGGCCCTACTTCTTTCTCATTTCTTTAACTTCCTTATTGCTTAGGTTTAGATACCCCCTAATTTCAACTTTCTACACATCCTACCCTCCAATACTTTTTGCATTATACCCTAAAACCCAATACTATTTTTCGTTGTATTTACCCCCCAGTCAAATATTCAAAACAGTTTGAGACCAAAATGCCCGTTTTTCTTCTCTTTCCTTTTTTTAACTGTCTTTTTAAACACGTGACCCTCTCTTACTTTCTCTCTCTACCATCTCCACACATCCTCTCTTTCTCTTTACCCATTTCTCCTTCTCTCTCTACCCTCCCTCACTTTTTCTCTCTATCTCTCTTTCACTCTCTACCCTCTCTCATTCTTTCTCTCTCTACCACTCACATGTCCATAATGCGGTCTAGAACATTTTTGTTTTGGACTAAAAAATTTGCGATCCGGCCACCGGATGGCAAAAACTTTTTTGGTCCGACATAAAAACGTGCCAAACCGCATTGGATTTCAGTAACTTTCACATGCCCATAATGCGGTCCAACACAAAAAAAAATTGTGATCCGTCACACTTTTGTGCCAAACCGCAAAAAAATTTTTGGTTGGGCATGTTAGTGGTAAAGAATGAGGGGGGGTAGAGAGAGAAAGAGAGAGAGAGAGAGAGAGAGAGAGAGTTAGGGAGGGTAGAGAGAGAAAGATAAATAGAGAGAGAAATGGTAAGGGAGGGTAGAGAGAAAGAATGAGAGAGGGTAGAGAGAGAAAGAGTGAGGGAGGTTAGAGTGATAGAGAGAGAAATGAGTGGAGAGAGAACGAGTGAGAGAGTTTTCTAGTAATTAAAGAGAGTTTGAAAGAGAAATATAAAAAAATATTATTGAAAAGGGGAAGAGAGAGAAAAAAAGAGCATTTTAGTCTCAAAACTTTGACTATTTGACTGGGGGAGTTAATACAAAGAAAAATAGAGCTGGGGTTTAGGGTATAATAAAAAAGTATTGGGGGTAGGATGTGTAGAAAGTTGAAATTGGGGGGATATCTATAATTTTTCCTTAAAAATATAAGATGTAAAATAGAGGGGACTATTTCTAAACTACCAAAACAAAGGGGATTTTTCATAAATCTCGCAAAAAAATATCTGAAGTGAGGAAGTTGTGTTCGAACCCAGCTCCCACTTAAAAAAATCTTACATGGCGACATATCTAAACTTGTCCTACTTAAAAAAATACAAGTAGGCTGGTTGGGACGCCTAACATCCAAGCATGCACGGTTATGATTTTTTATGTCGGAAATGAGTTTGGAAATTGGATGTCCGAACTAGCCTATTTATAAAAAAGGAATAAGCGGAATGGCTCAGCAACCCAATGTCCAAATTCATGTTCTGCTTTTAAAAAAAAAGACCTCAATTTCAGATACCGGGTTTCTAAACCCCGGTATTTGGGGATAAAAAGATGAAAAGAGGGACCTTTGCATAATATATAAAAATGTGACCCTTTTTAAATATCCATCTTCTAAAGAATTTATTTGCAATTTTTTCTTTTATCTAAAATCTTATTTCCACCACATAAAGAATTAACTCACAACCCCTCCCATATTTTCTATCAGCAGAGAAAAGCGAGTTGGGTTGGATGACAAAAGGACCAGTCAGGCTGCCTAGATACAAAGACTCAATAGATAATTGAATGCATGAAGTATGTAGAGTCTAAATATGCTTAATTTACGTTTTGCATGATAGTGTGAGCATTGAAAACCCTAGGTAGGTCAAGCCATCAATTAGGGTTTTTTCTTTGTTTATTCCTAACAATAAATAGAAAAAGGATTAGTTATGTGTTCCACATGAGAAAAATTTAAATGCTCTAGGCTTCTTGCTTGAGTAAAATAAATATGATATGTTCCTGTAAACAATCTCTACCAATTGAGGACTCCAATAAACCAACATGTGTGATTTACATGACAAAATCACACTGCAGGCTGACCCATATTATGCACAATCATTAAGCTAAGCTGTTGGCATGGTCCACCCAGCATCCCCAAAGTCCAGATGCACCCGCCACCCCATAACTTTGCAATTAGTACACTATGCAATATGGAATAAAATTTTGTTTTTTCTTATAAAAGTTCAATAGTTGGTGTCTTTTATAGAACAGTTACTGGTTGCAAGTGCCGAGAAAATGAGATTAAAGACATGCATTCAATGGAAACATATGCATTTAATGTTAGTGTCATTCCAAACAACCTACATCTTATGTTGTCATGCAATAGCCCTAGAATAATATAGTTAAAGTGCAAGTCAAAGAACAACGCATATTAGTAAAATACCTGGGTCCCCAACTAGAAGCAGGTGAGAATCGCCACGAATTTTGGTACCAGAGGCATCAATATGTTGTACACCTCCAATTAGTGTCAATGCAACTGGAACTTACATCAAATTCTATTAGTAGATTGTGGACTCGCTAAATGATTACAGCCATAAGATAAACTTTGTGCTCGTATCGAGAAATTATCACAGACAGGTTCATTAGACTTGGAAATTGTTTCTGATCTTCATTTGCATTAGACAACAACTGATCCAAGATTTAAAAATAATATTAATAATCAAGAAAATGGAGCATAGAGTACTATACCTGCGAGTTTTACAGTAAAGAGTCCAAAAACCTGGGGGCATATACCTTGCAAGATGACATTTCTGCCTGAAACATGACAACACTCAGTTTTGATATCATATGCATAGGAATTGACTTTACTAAAACAACAATTAGATATTTCTTTATTCACCATCCTCTTTTCCAAACCATGTGCAAAAAAAAGCATCCTAATATCAATACCCTAACTACAACAAGACAAATCGAAATTGATTGCTCATAGATCAACATCTGCCAACGCATTCCCATGGAGAAGACCAATTTTGGCGACATAAACATACTAGCACATGACCATCCGACATTCTCCCTAGGACTTAGGGCTCATTTGGATCCTAGGGTAAACAAAACCATGTTTTGGATAAACCCTGGTTATGTCAAAACCTGGTTATTGAGAAATGACTGTTTGGACAGCACCCTACAAATCCTTCATTGGGTCATCTATTTGCATAACCTGGGTTTAACCTATTTAGGACATATTGGTAGGTATGAAAATATTTTCGTCCAAAATATTTTCATGTGAAAATTATATTACACATATTTGATATGCAACAAATACATATAAAAAATTTTCCAATTGTAAAAAAATTTACCAAAATTTTAGAGAGATAAACTATACCAAATTTTAGAGAGAGAAACTACCTAAAAAATTTTAAAGAGAGAAACTATCTCAACATTTTTAGAGAGAAAAACTATCTAAAACTTCAAATTTGATATAGAAAATTTTTTAGGTAATTTCTGCCAATAAAATTTGATATAGTTTCACTCTCTAAAAAGTTTCAAGTTGTTTCTCTCACTAAATTTTGATATAGTTTCACTCTCTAAAAAGCTTCAAGTTGTTTCTCTCACTAAATTTTGATGTAGTTTCTCTCTCTAAAACTTAAAATTTGAGATAGTTTCTCTCTAGAAAAATTTTAAACAGTTTTTCTTTAAAAATGTTTAGGTAGTTTCTCTCTCTAAAATTTGATATAATTTCTCTCTCTAAAATTTAAATATACTCTCTATATCTAAAGTTTAAAAATTTGAGATAATTTTCCTTTAAAATTTTTGAGATGGTTTCTCTCTCTAAAAATTTAGGTATTTTCTCTCTCTAAAATTTTAAACCACTTTCTCTCTTTAAAACTTAAAATTTAAGATAGTTTTTCTCTAAATATTTTGATATAGTTTCTCTCTCTAAAAATTTTTAAACGATCCCCCTCTAAAATTTATATAGTTTCCATGTCTAAAATTTTACGATACTTTCTCTCTAAAACTTGAAATTTTGAGATAGCTTCTCTAACAAAAAAATTTCTAATATTTCTCTCTAAAAATTTTTACCATCTCTCTCTCCCCAATTCTCTCAAAAAAAATTATGCCTCTTCCCTAATTGTCTATAAAATTTTCTCTCTCTAGGAAGGCCATGAGTCCCTCACTCAAAAGCCAAAATGAGTTGTTTCTCTCTCTAAAAAAACTATGAGTTGTTTCTCATCTAGAGTATACACGTGTCTTTCACCTAAAGGCATTGCTTACAATTAGACAAACTCTTTCCAATTGTCCGTCCATGAGATATATAGTGGCCATGCGTGAAAGAGATTGGCACATAAAAACAAACCATGTTTTGGTTAACACCTTTTTTTTCATGACTTTCCCAACCCGCTTTTTTGGGTGACTTTTGTGGGTACACAAAACACGGTTACGTGACTATAAAAATACCAAACATGATTTTTTACAGGATAACATGGTTATATAAAACCACGCCTAGGATCCAAACAAGCCCTTAGTGAAAACCTGATGTTTCTATATATAATTGACCGATATCTTCAAACTTCGGTGTCAATCCGGCTTGAGGATCTCATTATGGCACTCCAAGATAAGGATCTCGATGGGGTCGCATCTTTTAAATTTTGGGTTCTTGACCCACCGTTTAGGGATCGCTCCTAGACGCTCGAGGGGGCTAAAAATTGTGATCACTATCTCTCTAATGCATATGGAGGCTGTAGAAGTGTAAAATTGTAAACGAAGCACATAATATTTTTTGTTCTATTTTGTGGGATTAGTTTTATGTAAATTAAACCTCAAAAGAATATTATTTATCAAATAAATAAGTAATTTTTTGTTGCCCATTTTTGTGCTCGTATTTTACTTTATTACTAAATGATTGTACAAAATGCACTCTAGGCCTAGGTAAGTTTCCAGCATTTGATGATCCTCCATCCATGCACTCACTTCCACTTCTAATAACTATATTTCTATATCTAATTGAGATTTTATTATTCATCTCAAAAAACAGACTTTACCTTCGACATGCTCAGGACAAAGAGTTAGACAACATCCGTAAATATGCTTGAACACGTGTATCCCGATATAGTGGGAAATTTTTCACAATACAATACTATCTGCCCCTCAGAAACTTAACTAGCAGAATCTGATTCCTGTAATAAACGAAGTTTTGTTTCAAATCAACGTGGTCCATTATTGCCGGCTGATCCCACATCATAGAAGGTTAAATCATACCCCTGAAAGATAATGCTCAACCAAAAAAAATTTCCCATTAAACAAGATCCCCCCATGATTAATTTGACTGAACCAACATGCATAAATCCACATTTCACAATATCACATTCAACAACAGTCCAAGCTATTCTAGGTTTCACAATAACCAAGATCCAAGAAGCCAACAGAGAATTATATTTGATACCTACATCTCTAAAAAAGATCTATGTGTGCCCTTCAGGGCTGCTAAGATATTTGAACAAGACCTATCACATGTACAACCCTAGGCTCCTCTCTCTCTCTCTTCTCTCTCTCTCTATCGCTCTTCCCCCCACCCCCTACCCCCCCAACCACACACACACACACACATATAAAGGAAAATTGAAAGGGAAAGAAAAAGAAGAACAATGTTTCAAACTATCCAAGAAAAAAAGAGCAGTTGAAGGAAAGGATATGGATATGGGGAATGAAAATAGGGAAAAAGATATAATCCCCCTATCTGGAATTTAAGGTTCACATAAACCCTCCAGTGTAAGTACTCCCTCTAAGTTATAGAAACCGGACAAATCACGCACGCACACATACACACACACATGCATATACCAATTTATACTAAATAATTTATCTTTTACTCATACTATGTCTTTTATAGTTATAAAATTTTATATTTACAAGTGTTCATCATTGTTATTGGCATCATATCATGTTGACATTGTTACATTAAGTATATGCAAGCATAGGATTAAAATAGGATAAAAGATTCTTAACAAAATTAAGTTCATGGAGTGTCTAAGAAGACCAGCAACTACATAAGTGAAGTGGAGAACTTGGCTGGCAAGAATGTGCTTCAAAACCTCATAAGCATGATAATTGACGTCGTATGTATTTAAACCTTAGGCATTGAAAACCATGATATGTGCCAAGGACACCTAATATACATCCATCCCTTCCCTAACTAAAAGATTTCACCTTCAAAAGTACTGATTAAAGTATAAGAAACATGGATGGCATTTACTATGGGTTAAGAACAAAATGATTCTAAAGGATTAAGTATCCATTGACACTATAAAAGAAAAATTAAACATCAACTAGATGCCCTAATACAACTAACATTATGATATGTGTGTGTACGTGTAGTGTCAGAAACAAGAGCTAGATCGGAGAAAGTTAGGGTCTGGACAGCTTAGAGGCATGGGCATTGATATCCTAGAAAGACAATAATTTTCATTACAATTAAACTTAAATGGAAAAACACCCACACACACACACACACATATATATATATGTGTGTGTGTGTGTGTGTGTGTGTGTGCGTGTATGAACAAGTGTGTATGTGTGTGTGCATGCACAAAAGAACATTCAGAAGGAAAGTAAAATTTTGTATTTAGTACTAGACAAAAATGAAGGATACAAACAATATGTGGTAATATAAACCATTATAAAAAATACAAAGGTAATAAATACACCGGAAACTAAGATGAATTGTTTCCACTATTAGAATGACGAGGAATATAAATGCACCTCTTAAGGGATTTTCCTTGTAGTATGTCCAAAACTGCTCAAATTTCTTGACGACATCCTCAGGGATATCAATATCTAATTTTAGTTCATTGGTTCTCCTGAAGAACAAACAACAGAATAAAAATAAAGGTATTATATAGTTGTGCAATGGTTGAATAAAAGAACAATAAGAGCAATGCACTCACTTAACATAAATGGGGCTACTTTGGTAAACTTTGTTTTTAGATATCCACCAATGTTTCTGATTCTTCCTCACAAAACATGGTTGGCAATACCTTTAGAATATGTGAACCACTGCCTTTGACTTTTTTCAGTGGATTACTAAAAAGTGAGTGGCTAAGCTAATGCCTTTCAATAAATAACAAACAAAAAAAGAAAACAATACTAAAAAAAGAAAAAGAAATTTTCAATAGGCATACACTATCGACAAGTAAAACAAACAATCAAGCAACCAATACAAGCAATATCAAAGGATACCACAAAATTATTCAATAATTTCACAAAGAATTACAAAACTTCATATGATCAATATGAAAGAGTGTAACTAACCACTATAATCCCCACTTTAAACAAAGTTAGTGGATACGTTGCGTTTTGACAAAATAAACATCACAATAAAAGTCGTTACATTAACAAAGCTAAGATTCTAATTATTTAGCACTTGTGAATTTGACAGCAATGTCATGGAACTTGGACATATCTTGTGGATGAGCAGATACGCCAGAAGGATATTCATTACTTAACTACATCAAAAGTACTACAGATGTTGGGGTTGGATGTGAATTTCCTACGTGCAATTGAAATAGAAAACAATTGGATCGAATGCAGCAATAAAAGTGATTTCAAATTATTTAACAAACAGCTCACCTATTATATGTTGGGGTTTGAGGCCTTTATGGGCCACGATAGCAAGTAACTAACTTTTACAGTGGGTTATGCACCCCAAGTGGGAGTGTGTGATTTTGACTAACCAAGGGTTACGCGGTCTATAGCCCTGGTCATGTCCAAAACGCTTGCCCTTGGGCGTATGGTACTACCGAAAGGGGCTAACAACCCCTTATTGAGGTTGGAGAGATGCCTAGGGATAGTTTGTAGGCCAAGAAAGTTTTGTGGTCTCTTGTATGTAAATGTAGGCATGTGACAACGAGGAAAACATTCTCAATAAACATTCGCATGGCATTACATATAATAGCCACATTCATGGAAGCAGCCCTGGAGAGAGATACATATATATGTGCATAGAAAGTGATGATGAGCAGAGCACAGCGAGTAGCCATGAGTATCTTCTTTGGGAGCTACAAATTCGTTTTAATACTTGCTCATATTTAGAAGATGAAAACACTAGGAGGGCTTCCCAGAAGAGCAAGAAATAGTTTTGAGGACTATTTCAGATTTTTTTAATTTATTTCATCGTTGGACCAATTAGGGACTCCTTAGATATTTTAATTAAAGTTAGCGAGTATAATTTCAAATTATATTAGAGTTAGGACCTTTAGGTCAAAAGTATAATTGTATGGACAAATATTGTCCAAAACATTAAATAGACAATATTTAATTCAAGCGTGGATAGCTAAAGGGAGATCACACACTATTTTTTAGAGAAAACACACTTTTATTGAAGAAGAAAGAAAGACGCCTAAGGCTTGAGCTTGGGAGAAAACCTTAGGGTTTCCTCAACAATGCATGCGTTTGGCCGAACTTCTTGCTGATTTTTATTGTTTTCTCAACTTCTCTACATCAAATTGTTATTTGAGCCCGACGATCTGCAGGGACGGTATTGTAGCTGTGTGCAGAAGGTATGCAGTATTGTACGGCCCAATCAGCTTCGAGCTTGCTAATTTCAGCAAGGTTTAGTTGATCATATGCCTAGGGTTTGTGACATCGATGAACCCATGGAGGCAAGAAGGAGCAGTGGGAGGAGGTTTCGTAGACCCGCTCCATGATCCCAAAGATAAGAGAATTGAGAAACTTGAAAGACAAGTTTAGTAGCTGATGCAGCCATTGTTTTAAAATGCGGCCACATAATGTTTTATGTGCCTCAAAGCGCGTTCCATATGGGCGCATATGCGCTTTGATGGGATGTGCTCGCATGTGTATCGCATCCCACCGCATAGCCATAACGCATATGCGCCCCATACCTCGTGGGCAAAAATAGTGCCAAGCATGGGTATTTTTGTCATTCCCTCCTCCCCGGGGAAGTGGGGAAAGGGTTTTAGGGGGTATTAAACCCCCAAAAATACAAAACATAGCCACATTTATGTGGAGGTTTTTGGATCAAACGAATAGGAAAAAAGAATTTAGCGGAATTTTAACAAAAAAATTGTTGTTTGCTCTGGGTATTGGTTGGGTTGTTGATTGGGATTAGCTTCGCAGAAGTTTGAGCATAGTTCATTAACATATCAAGTGTTTCAAGGGCCGAGAAGACATCGAAATTTTTTCAATCATTCGCTAAGTTTTTATTTCCTAAATTATAACACTTATTTTTTGGGGTAATGTATCCTTCACATCTTCGAATAAGAAGGATCCAGCTAGGAAATATGAAAAGCTCAAAAATCCAAAAGATCAAATTGTGTTATACGCTCTGTGGAAATTATTATACGAAGGATATTTTCCAACAAAACGTTAGCCAGTATTACTGGGAAATCAGAACATGCCCACAAGCTAGCAAAGAGATTAAAAGGGAGATTAGAAAATACATGGATAGCTTAAAAAAACAAAAAGATTATGGATTATGATGTCTTTTAAGTTCTATGTCTTCTATAAGATAGTTTCAAGTTTCTAACTTCTATTTTCTATTTCTAATGTCTTCTATCAGCGAATTCAGAGTCTCCCACAGCCGAAAATCTTGGAGTTAATAGAATAAATTAAATTTCTACTAACTCCATATTTTTCCATGCATTAACATTTTTTGAGATTTTTTGGAATTGTTTTATATTTATTTACTACATCGAGGTGATGCACCGGCATCTAGACTGCATCAAGCCACATCGCCGTATCTACCCCCGACTGCATCGGAACCTCATCCTGCATTTGCGAGCCTCAATAGTGGTCAAGATGGGGATCTTTTACCCGAAGAGGATCTCAAATATAACCCTTTTCACCTTCGCCCTCTGCGTGTGAAGTCAAGTGATAAGAATAGTGACTAAAGACTTAGACCTAGGGTGCATCACTCTAAGGATGTCGATTTGAAAATGGATATTCCCGATTTTGATGGTAAGCCTCAACCCAAGGCGTTTATGGACTAGTTAAACACAATAGATAGGATTTCTTTTATTATAAGGAGGTATCTGAAAATAAAAAGGTAAAAATATTGCAATAAAATTGAAAAAAGCCCTCAACATGGAGGGCATAACTTAGGGCTAGAAGAGAGAGAATGGGAAAGCCCAGAATTAATACATGGCAGAAGATGAAAAAGAAACTAAAAGAAAAATACCTCCTTGAAACTTATTTGCACTCCTTCTATCATAAGATGAATAATGTTCATTGGAAAGAGAAGAGTATAGAGGATTATACCGATGAATTCTATGAGATGATGACTCGTAGTGATGTGGTTGAAAGGTAAGAACAGTCCCTAGCACATTATGTTGGTGGTCTAAGATCATTTATACAATATGTGGTAGTTTTACAACAGTATTGGACCTTAAATGAAAGCTTGCAACCTTTCAGTTAAGGTTAAAGCTCAGCTAAAGAGTCCGTCGTCAAGGTGGGTTGTAGGCCAAGGTAACTCAAGTAGCCGTAGAAGTGAATTTAAAGGAAAAGGTTGAACTCTAGTAGTTGGATAGTCACTTGAAATTAAAGAAGAGAGGAGAACAATTAAATGAGTTCTAGAGAGAGAAAGAGAGGAAAGAAATAAAGAAGAAGAGAGAGAGGGACGGAGGCGTGTGAGAGATAGAGAAAGAAAAAAAGTGGCGTGTTGTTCTATTGTGACCTCCATCCCTCTATGGATAATATTGCCCTTAGAGAAAGAAGACAAATAAGTCACAAACAAAGATAAAGACGGTTCTGCCCATCAAATACAATAAAGCTTAATTCTTTTATTTCCATCACAGTCCTCATGGCCTGCTGGTCCGTCAAGACCGAAGGAAACTGCAGGTGTTGGTGCTAGTTCTAGTCACCCAGATCGCCCAAACAGCAGCATCATAGAATACTTGAAGTGTACGTAGATTGGTCATGTCTCTTCTCGGTGCCCAGATCAGTGTTTCAAAAAAGCGCTAGGCGGGTCCTTGGAAGCTTAGGGGGTCAAGGATGCCCAGCGCCTAGGCGGACGACCGGAACCTGGGGGGCCCAGTTGAATCCGAAAAGGATTCCTACAATTATATATTGTATAAAATATAAGAATTAGGTATTTAGGGCACATCAAAATTGAAAGTATATTGCACGTTAGCACACACTCCATAAGCATAATCATAAGTAGGTCCATAATCCATATCCAATTAAAACTTAAAATTTACCATTCATAGTTCAATCAAAGTTCAAAGTTTAATAATTATTCAACATTCATCATTCATCATCAGAAAAATTAAGGTCAGCTGCATTGGCATCATATTCATCGGACTCGTCACCGTCCTCGGCATATTGGCCGGCCTCCTCCATCTCTTCTGAATCTACCTCTTCTTCCTCCTCCACCCTCGTTCTCTGTGTAGAAGATCTAGTGGCCCTAGGAAGATGTCCCTAAAGCATCCATGACCATGTCCCATGTCAATCCTTCATGCCCCTCGACCTCATCATCATCAACTAACCACTCTATAGCATTGTCCATATTTTTTGATCTGATGGGGTCTCTCTTATCTCTCTTAGCAAACCTGTCCTTCAAGAATCAATTACACTTGACATAGACTAGGTCATTGAGCCTCTTTGATTCAAGTTTGTTCCTTCTCTTTGTATGAATCTAACAAAATCAAATGAAACTAATTAAAATCTATGGTTCATGTATTATTAATACAATTATACAAACTACCCTTACGGCCTTACCTTTCAAAAGTACTCCAATTGCGCTCACAACCGGATAAGGAAGTAGTTAGGTTTAAGATCCGAATGGCCAACTTTTGTAAATTTGGAGAACTACACCCATGTTGGCTCCACCAATTGGCTGCAAAGA